CGCGGACCACGTGTCAGGGGCGGAGAAATGACCATACCCTGAGGCGGAGTTCGCACATCGAGGGAAATTTTTGCGGCCGGAGCTGGTCGTAACCCGAAAAGTTCGTTAGTAGAGGTGTTCGTATCCCGAGGTACCACTGTATCTGTTTTGCAATCCAATCCTAATTCATTCTTTTGACCAAGCCATCCCAACATATCTCTTTTGTACTGATCACTCACTTTTATATTCAATCTGCATTCATTCGGTGCCCATTCATTCTCAAGCCTACATATTCTTGTTTTACCATATACACATTGCATTCAGCTTACTTTTTGTTTCTTCTGACATACCCAAATCCTATGAAACAAAATGGGCAGAAGCGTTCTCTTTCAGCCATTTTCACTCTTTCATCAACATTCATTCCTTGCAATAGACCATATACTATGCACTACCCTTTTACCAACATCTGCACATCCCAAAATGTCTCCATTTCCCATTTTTAGTAAACATTCTACCATGGAACACAAATTCATCTACTTGTTCTGGTTTTCAACTATGTACAAATTGTGATCTTTCACTCCATTTTCTAACTCAACTACCATGGCTTTTGATGCATTACTTTTTAAATACATACTCATCATTGCCTAACATTCTCTGCAAATAATTTGGGTCAGCCAGCAACATGGTACCATCTGCACACACACACACACACACACACACACATTGAGATCTGCAATCAATGCTTAGCAAAAGTTTGAACATTGAACAGGAAGTAAAAGGAGGCTGTGGGATGATCTGTTCATGAAATACAGTTTTTCTGCCTCTTTTTCTCCCATATCAGCTCCTCAAAAAGCTGTTTGAGAAGTTGCAGAATCATGTGGAATGCTTTGGGGCCATCTTGGATAAAAAATTGACATCTTCTACTCAGGGAAGAGTGTGTTTGGTTCCAAGCCATTTGAAAATCATAGAATTGGAAGAGTCAATTTGGTCACTGAATCCAACTCCCCACTCTATGCCAAAATCCAAATAGACATCTCCAACAACATGTATCCAGGCTCTGTTAATATTATGTAATAGTTATATTTCCATAAAAGCTACTCCATTTAATCTCCCATCAATAAACTCCCCTGAAATAAAAGACAAACTGACTCAGTTTCCCATGAACACCCCAGGACAAGAATTTTCTCCTAATGTGGAACAGCTATCAAAAATGCCTCTGGTGCCCTTCAAGTAATAACCTGTTTTTAAATTGTAATATTCTTCACCAGCAGCAATGAGGCACCCAGCTAATAACTCAATTTTAAGTAGTAGCACTTTTTCAAACAGGAACAATGAACAAGCTATCAAGTACTAAATATTTCCAGTAATTAAAAATCTTTTTCCACCTTCCAGCTTAATTTCTCCTGCTGTTTTTTTTTTTAATTTTCTTCTTAATATACTTATTTCTCAATATATTGTTATTCCAGGGAATTGTTAAGACTCTCCCATTTTCTTCTAAAGAGATGTAGTTGGACTTTTAAGAATCTAAATCAGACAGCAATGAATCACTTTGTGAAGGCTGCTAAACCAGAATGCCTAAGAGTCTCAGCCAGTGTGTCCAATGGTGAAGGATGGAAAAGGCAGCCCAGTATCTAGAGTTCCATGCACTGTCTCTGATCTACAATGAAAGATATAATTAAGGCTGGACTCTGATTTTATTTCTCCTAGATTAGGAATATTTAAACAAAAACATGCTATCTTCCTGACCGCAATAAAACCATCAGGGAGTATTTAATCAGCCCTGCAGGTTCCTCTTACAGGTAGTCCTCATTTAGTGACTGCCCATTTAGAGACCATTCACAGGTAGAACAGTGATGAAAAAGTAACTTTGTGACCAATCCTCGCATTTACAACCTTCCCAGGTCTGTAAAGCAAAGGAAAGCTGAAGTAAGATCATAAGGACAGTTGCAGTTTCACTTAGCGACTGCTTTGCTTAATGACTCAGTTGCTGGTCCCAATTGTGGTCATTAAATGAGGACTACCTGTATAACTAACAAAATCACATGATGCAACAAAATCAAATCTTGAATTTAAGTAGTGATTTATGTAGTGAGCTGTCACAAAAGTCAAACTAAAAAATCTTTCCTTTCCCCTCATTTGCAATATCAGCAGAGCTTAAAAAAAAATTAAGCAAATTGCGTTACACAGTTAAACAGGCAGATGAAAACAGCTCAATTTTCAAAATCTGGTAGCTCATTCATTATTTCCTATGCAAATCCAAAACTGCTTTATGCTAACTTACCTGAAAGTTATTTGTGTCAATCTCATATTGGTATGTTGGATCGTGGAGTTCATTGACCCTAAAAAAACAAAACACACCATGATCATGAATTTATAGATTTATATGTAACAACCTAAAGGATATGATGAATGCAGAAAAACAACAATTTTGATACAGTTGGCTTTGTATTTCCCCAGAACCTAAAAGATTCATGTTTAGGTCCTATATTCTATCACAACCCAGCTATAGTTCTTATGAGGAGGAGGAGGAGGAGGAGGAGGAAGAAGAAGAAGAAGAAGAAGAAGAAGAAGAAGAAGAAGAAGAAGAAG